AATTTTTAAATTATATTTATAAATATAATATTCTAAATATAAACACTTAGAAATCCATTTATAGGCTATTTTCAGACAGCTGGCACCAGATAAATTCCTGCCAGATAAGTATAACAAGTTAGCAAAAGAAAAAAATTCAAGCAGTGAGGTGTCTCACTAGAGCTACGGGCATGGGTGAAGTCTTGGATGCAATTCTGTAATCATCCCATTAAGTCATAAAAATAGTCATTTATACTCTGAAGGCAAACATGTAGAACAAATAGAATTCATACACAGATGCCATTTACTCCACCAGACTGGCATAATTTCCGCATGGAACAGAACATTTAATCCTTGCATTAAGGAAACCAGACAGTACTTACGGAGAGGAGACAAGAGTTCTGATCTTCTCTGCACATATTCCATTTCCACGTTGCTGTATCTCTCTTGATCAGCAGGGCGGTCCACAGATTTCAGCTGAGAAACATAGCCATCTAGAAAACAATCCAGCAGTGCCACCAGCTGTTCAGCCACAGTGCTACGGAGGTTGCTGTCCACCTGAGGATACACCATCTTCAGAATAACCCCATGCTGACGTATTATTGCTGTACGAAGGCCACTAGATGCTTGGGAAAACAACACAGTGAACATTAAAACAATAATCCTATCACCACAGGGTTTTATGCATATATATGTGTGTATATATATATATGTATATATACATATAAGTATACATAAGTATAACAAAAAGAGTAATTACTATGTATAATTAAAAAAATAGAAAGAAAAAAGCTAATAAACATTTTAAAAATCAAACCAATACTATTAAAAAAAACCCCCACAAACAAATCCAAAACAAACACATACTCCCATCTACCTTTACATATTAAATTTGGCCAAAACGTAGTAAATGGTTTGCATGGGTCCTGCTTCTCAACAGATTTTTATCTTGGGAACATTGAAAAAGTGTATTTTATGTAGAGGCCACAGGGAAGCTTAAGCACCAACTGGAAAGTGCTTGCTTCTGCAAACATTTGTTCTGATAGTTTTTCATATTATTAAACCATCAAAACACAACACTGAAGGAAGTGGAGAATCATTAGTCCTTTTAAAACAGTTATAAATCACATTTTATGATTCATTTTAACATTACGTATCCAATAGGTCTGCCAAGCAGAACCAGTGCATACTATTAAAAAAAAAAAAATAGTTTTATCTCCCAAGCTTTGTTTTTGTAGTCAAATTTGCAATGTAAATTTTAAAGAATTATCATCACTACTGGACAAAATAAGCATTCATTGATTCATTCCATTTCATTCACCAAATGAAACCTCTAGCTTTTCCTGCTCTTACTGACAACTTTGTAGCAGCTTTTAAAAGTAAGTTTAACATTCAGACTGAAATTCTGGTTGAAACTCATGAAAAGTATTTTTGTTTAGGATAGATAATTAATAAACTAGTAATAATAATTTCTCACCTGTCCATGGAATATATTCAGGTTCTCTTTCTGGAAGCTCTCCTGGTTTATATAAAGAGGCTCTACACTGACGATACTGACAGGCAGCTTGTAGCATGTCCTATTTAAAGGCAAGGATGTAAGTACTTTAAAGTGTACCTGCATATACACAGATCATAAAACATGCTGTCTTTTATAATTCTGAAATATTCTTTGTATATCCCCATTCTTTCTATACCAATTTCTCAGCTGCACAGATGACCACACTGAGTGAGCAAGAAATCTCAGTGCGCAAGCATAAGCTCTTCACTCTTTGTTACGTACTTATGCTTCCACAACTTCCAACAATGCTACAACTTCTCAAATTCTCTTTATCAGCAGCTCAGGAGGAAAAGGAATTCTGCATGAGACCATCCTTTCCTTCCTAATATATTTGGACATGTGAAAAGGGCATTCACTTTTGTTCTCATATCAGTAACTCAGACATACTGCACTTAACTTGCTGAGCGCTCTTCAATATTTACCTTCCCCTCCCGTAGACATTTTAATTAATGCAGTTTTATACCTTAATGATGTTGTTCACATTGACAACTATCTGGGCCCACTCAATGGATTCAATAGGCATATCTTTCAGGATTTGTTCCTCTTCTTCCAGTAAGCATTCAAAGATGGAATCTATTTGGGACACCTTAAAGATGTAAAGAAAAACTGCACTGACCACAAATATATCCATTACCAGATGATACCTGAAAGCCAAGTTATGAGTTGTATGGAAAAATAAACAAATGCTAGTAGAAACCACATCAATAGTCAAAAATATTAAAAGGTATCAACTACTCAAATGGATAATGAAATCACCAGCTTGTATCTCATATAATACTTAGAATATAATAATTGCCTTATTTCTAGACTTAAATGTGGAAGAAAAAAAAAAATCCTCTTTTTTGAAGGCAACTCCATAAACTTCCATTAAACATATTCCTCCATATTCTTCTGAAACATTTGGCGGTAGCACCTTTGTCAGATAAAGTATACTGGATAACACACCTGCTTTAAAATAGCAGACTCTTATTTCTATTTTCATTTATATTTACTTTTCTCCATTAGCAACTACTGTCCTCTACAGGAAAAAAAATCTTAAGAGTAAATGTTTAGCAAATAGTTCTTCTCAAGAAGGAAGAACGAAATAAAGACTGGGCACTTGACTGGAACGTGCCATAAACAGAACTAGCTTAAATTCACTAATGTTAGAGAGGACAAAAAATTATGAGAGACTAAATTGATTCAATTCCATCCAGGTCAGCTCATCAAAGCACCTCTCCTATCTGGAAAGCTTCATACTCTTCACTTCACCTTAAATAATAATTTAGCATACATTTTCTGATGTACCAGAGAATTTCTCTTGTCTTTTCCATTGCTGATCCATGTAGGTTAGTTAGAAATCATAACAACTTTACTTCTGCTACGTGAAATTTGTCAGAATCCATGTTTCAGCTGCAGACATAAAAAAGTATGCACACTATAGTGAGGAAAATGCTACCACACCATCCCTAAAGGGAAATGGTGTAAAGCTTAATTGATTTTTAAAGGGAAAAGTTTCAAAGTACACATTAGAGCATTGCAAATTTTACTACACACAATACTACACAGTGATCCAGAAATAACAGGTTTCTTACCTCTCGAAAGAACACATCTGCAGGGGTAAGGCTTGGTGGAATCTCACACTCCCTTTTGTTTAATGCAATCAGTATAGCAGCATTCACTAGGTCAGGCAGCCTGGAGTGATGATTCTTGAGAACAATAGCTGCTGCTAGTTTCTCTGCGTGCTCACAGAGCAACAATCGAGTTGCCATTGGCATCCCTCGTACTGGAAAACTGCCCAGACGTTCAAATACACCAACCTTTTATAAAAAAAACCCCAACAAAACACCACGTGCACTTTAAACAGTGTTCTACAAGAATTACTTGAAGACAAAATAATACTCTACCATGTGTGCTGATGCCAAAAGAGCAGTAGAATTTTACCTGATGAAGAAACTCAATGAAGAAGGAATGTGCTTTTGTCTTATCCTCTAGCTGATGAAGAAGAATGAGAGATGTGTTGCTGAAACCAACTGCTTCTAAAAAGAGAAAAATCTTAGATCAGAGCCCTTGATATCTTCATTTCTTTTATAACTTTTTTTTTTTTGGCCTCTGAGATAAATATCTTGCTATAAATGTCTATAGTGTTACCGCACTGGTACTTTTAAAAATACATACGTGCACATTTATATATTGCTTACCATGTTATTTTTAATGTGGTTTTTGAACTCTATCATAGCTACAGTAAAGTCTTTAGAAGAAACCAAGTATATTTAGATCAGCACAACTATTCTGAAGCATTCAATTCATTATGCTGCTAAAACAGCAGCTCACCAGCTTATTCAAGTTTTAGTAAGATTCAGATTCAAATTTTTATCTTCACTGTGGACTACCAGTTGCTAAATTTTTTATGCCCTAGACCACAGTTACTACAAAATAAAGTGTTAACAGGTATTCAGACCTAATTGACTCTGTGTTGCCTGCACAATTCCACTGCACAACTTAAGTGGTTGCCCAGCACTGCTCTACTTTTCTTCTTCAAATGAGCTTGCATCTGAAAAGCCAGCTAATGTTTCCATCCCGACAATCAGGTCCTTAAAGGAGTTAGTAAGGATGATGGAAGCTTCTTCATGAGTATCCTCACAAGCATCTCACTTCAGCAGAGTTCTCCAGAGCCCAAGTTATTTTCCTACTTCAGAATTTTTTTATATGCTAAGTGTTCTTTAAACTGAAAGACTACCAAGATATAAAAACCTCAGAAGAACTATTGCTAAAATTAGCAAGGCTATTTCCAAGAAGCTATCAATTTTCACTTCTCCCTTCAGCCAGGAATAAATGCAGATAAGCCGCTGAATTAAAAATAAAGTTGATACAGAAAATACCAAGGATCTGTCGCCTGACAATTTCGAACTGGCTGCCACACAGAAACAACAGCAGGAAGCATCACCCATCTGTAACTATTTACTACATGAACTTTCAAACTAAATCTCTGCTCAGTAACTGGCAACTGCTGCCTAGAGGTCCTGGGGACAGTTTCAAATTAACACTGTTCATGAGAGACAGGGAAGCATGAACGAAGAAGTTGCTTGCTGAAAATGTGTCTGCTTCAGTCCTTTAACTACAAAAAATAAAATTATTCCATCTTTTTTTAGGCAGACATAGATACCAATGCCCCAGAGGGATATGAGCTCACTCTACCCAGGATCCAAGCCTAACAGAAGCTCTGCAGCCATGCTGACAAAGGGCTAAGCACGAGCAAATAAAACTCTTTCTTTCAACATACCTATTTGTGGAAAATAATTTAGATCTATCCAAGGAATCATGGAAACACTAAAGCGTTCCTTGCATACAGTACCCGTCTCAGAAATGTTTTCTTTGTTGCCTGTGTTTACTATATGAAGTCAAGAACTAACCACAGCAGACTGCATGTATATCTGGCATTCTCACAGGATGCATCTTTGGAAATGTATCTAGTGGTGGAAGAGTGCAAGGGACACCTATGCCTTTTTTGAAAAGCTTAAATTATAATTCTATCCAGAATACTATAGACAGTTTTTCACCAAATCCAACCAACCAAACACCAAAAACCCCAACCAACCTCCCCTCACCGTGATGTTTACCTTCAGGTACAGACTCAGCCCATCTTGGATCAGAGGCAGGGTAATCATCCATTAAGTCCACACTGATCTGAGTCACTGCCCTATTCAGTTCAGCATCAGAATCCAGATCTGCATCACTTGGAAAGAGCTCATCTACCATGCTTTGTGCACTGACTATGTCTTTCCTGAAATAAAAGAAATACAAAGTATGTGAAATAAAAACAACAGATAGGATTATAGGAACAAGTACCACTCAATTAGTAGGATCTTCTGCCATGGTTTTTGTAAAGTGCTTTAGATTCTAAACATCAAGCATTGTTTGAGCTATCTTTAAACTAATTATGGATAAAAGGTATTCAGATTCTTTCAGAGCACATAGGCTGCACAATCTATAAAAGAAAAAAGCACAAGCCACAAAGTGTGTCAAGTAACTTTTTATTTTATTATCCCTATTATTATTATTATTTCAGAGAAAAGATTCATCATACAGAGCTAAGTCTGGATGTCTCTGGTAGCAAAGTCACCACATTTCTATTGCCTTCTTTAAAGTCCTCTCGAGTACATGTAATCGCTCCCAAAAATGGCAACAGAGTAAAAGCTCTCAGGAAAATGCATTATTCTTATTTCCTATAATTTCAGAGAAATCTATTTTGTTCAGATCAATAAATAAAAGAGTAAGAAGCATCCAAATGCTTAAACCTCCAACAAATGAAGTTGTACTGAAGAACTCTATTCAAGAAGTATACAGTATTCACAAAAAGCACTGATTTGATTTTGTGACTAAAAATTACAGTATTTCGAATGAGAGTGGATACTGTGATTCCAATACAACATCTGATTTTGGAAACATTTATATTTTTCATGAGACTTTTAGTTTCAATGTTTATATGACCAAGATATCTTGAAATAAAAAAAAGAGCAGTGCATCCAGAAATTGCACAAAGGTTTACTAAAGCAAACTGTACTTTTAAAAGCTGGAGATATATATATACACTGGATCTTCCATTAAACAACCTTCCATTATTTGCTCTGCATCAACTGGTTGGCCATCTGGACAGGCCATTGCTACATCTGTTCTGTGGAAGATTTCTCCACTCATTTTACCACACTATTTTTCTGGAAAAAATCTGAATCAATACTATACACATCAAATTATTAATTTCTTCTAGTTTTGTAAATATAACTCAAATTTTAATAAAAATTACATTAAACTTCCATACTGTTTCACACTGTTTTCCTTACTACCTCCTACTTTCTTCTGACCCTGTTTCCAACCCCTTTGTTCGCATCCTCAGTGATACCAACTTGTGTATTTGTTCTCTGTGCTCTCAGACCTCAGCTACTCCACTCACCTCAGAACTACAGCCATCTTCAGCAGCAGTTCTGTTTACTGACATGTCCACTTGTGAATGCATGTACATTTTCTTTCTAAATTCTGTGCACGTTTACAGATCTTGTCTTGATGTCCTTTATTATATGTGCCTAATCCCCTTTGTAATATTCTCTCTCACATGCATAAGTACTCCTACTTCCTGTTATCTTAAATCTGTTCTTTCCAAGTTTTAAGACTTTTTAAGGAGATTAGTCCTAAGAGGGTTTGTAGATTGTTGTGTTGGTTTTTTTAAAAATAAATAAATACAGAAAACAATCCCCTACAAATATAATTAATCTAAATCTACAGCTCTGTTTATCTTCTTATCTCTCCCTTTCCTCCTTTGTTTACATCATTCATCTCAACATTAAACTTTTCAGAGGTATTGCATGCCTCCCAATAGTCAAGTTGCTTTAATCAGGATAGTATGACAAACAGTGGACTTCCTTCCACTCCCCCCATATCAGTCAACCTAAAAAAATCCACAGAATCCTCTATGCTAGTTATCTTCATGGCCACATAAACAGTAATTAATCACATTGGAAAGTGTTACTGAAAACAGCTATGCAAATAAAAGGAAATAATGTTTTTTAACAACAAAACATGACCCACTGAAAGAATAAAGAAGTCAAAATAACGAAGTTTAAAGTTGTTTTACTAGCAGTAATGTAACATCACAAAATTTTTATAAAGTGGAAAGTAATTGAGATTATCTCCTTTCTAGCACGTATCATTCTTCACTAGCTCAAGATTTATCTAAGAGTTTCCTAACAAAGGTGTGCATGTGGCATTAAAATAACTAGAGTATCTTTATCAAGTCAAAATTTCTTACTCAAAATCAGAATGCCTTCAAGAATAGGAAACAAGCAAAGCCTCAAAAATCAAGTGCAATTTTTACCTGCAGTACTGTAGAAAAGCAGCTTTTAGTAATTTAGTCTTATCTTCTTGAGCTACAATTTCTAGCCTACTGGTTGCGTCAAATGCGGGACTCTGAAAAAAACAAATTAAAAACTTCAGCTGAAAGACAAATAACAATCTTCATTATGAAATGAAACCAATTTTTCTAAGTAGCAACAACATAGATTTAAAATAAAAATGTCACCTGGAAGCAGTGGTGTTTATAAGCCAAACAGAAGCCTGTAAGCTACATTACAATGAAAGTCTCACAGTGGTTTGACCTCAAGCATTTTAATAAAATCCACACAAACAGCAAAGGAACTTACGCCAACTTATTTCACCAGACAAACTTTTTATGATAATTTCAAATATGTTAACATTGAAAAGCAAAATTTTGGACAGAATTTTAAAATGGTATTCATGAGTACTATCATCTACAAAAACAATATTAACGCAGACAAATCTGGAGATTAGTTCAATGAGAAAAATATGGTTCCATCTGAGCAATCACCACAGAGGTCTTCCACTAAAATACTAGTTAATAGTAACTGATTTAAAAAGTGACTTAATTGAAATAAGGATTGAAACTCACTATTACCCCAAAGAAATATTCCCTGATTTATATTGTAACAACTTTTCTATTCTTCCTTCCTACTCCAGAGACGTCTCCAGGCCACAGACATTTTAAACAAAACATATTTGATGTAAACAAAGAGTTTAATAAATGCACATTGCACAAAATATAAATAAAAATACTTTAAAATATTTTAATAAGACTATATTAAAATACATATATAACAGAGCATAAAAAATATTCAGCCACTATATATCCCTTCTCAGCTTAGCCTCCAAGCTTTTCACAGCGTGATAAGAAAAAAGTCTCTCTTATATGCACAAAGGAATGGACACAAAAGACCAAAGAAACCATCCTGATCAAAAAGTGAGAACAAAGTCTGAGTCTCTGCAGCAGTATCGTATCAGGCCTAGTGACATATAGTAAAATATCTACGTGAAAAAATATAAATTTCACAGAAATCTTGACTTCAAAACAAAGGAAAACAAAGGAAAACTGGCAAATGCTGTGAAATTTCTTGGATTTTGAAAACTGCCTTAATTACAAGTGTATTTAAAAGAAAAAAAAAAACACTTTAAAACTCAAAGAAGCCAGGATTTCCACAGTGAAAATTCAAAACTGCCAAAAAACCATTTTACCTGTACCCTCAGTTCTCAACTGGCCAAGCAAACAACCATTACCTCACTCCTTGGTCCAGCAAGAGTAGAGGACAGGGAATCTTCAAGGTCTTCAGGAAGCACAGAAATATTTTCCCTGGACAAGATGGTGATCAGTCCACTTTTTTTGGTGAAGAAGATGGGAAGGCCAGTACAGGAACCTGCTCCTAAAATGCTATCTCCTAAGATGACAGGAGAGGGGGGAAAAAAGGGG